CAGAGCCTCAGCTACCGGTTATTGCACAAACCCCACTGGGACATGGTTAAAAACCCTCGGGCATCTACAGTCCTCTCCCACTGAGCTGGAGTGACTCCAGCACGACCCTGGCTCTCACAGCCCAGGTTGGATGTTCTCCAGCTGGAGATGTGTTGGACCAGCAGTAGCCAACCCACCTCCCCGAGCTCCTGCGGGCCCCCAGCCCCAAGGCTTCCTCCTCGTGCGGGCCACCAGCCCCAAGGCTTCCTGCTGACCCCACACCGAAGCTGCTGCACAGTGACAAAGTCTGTTATTAAGATGACCGGTTTCTCCTGGAGTCTGTGGCCCAGTACAGCTGACGTTCTTTGATACTGCCAGAATTTAACAAACCACTTCTCCTGAATTTGATCTTTGTAATGAAAGAAGTGCACAAGAATGCTTTTAACTGGGATAGTAGGTCTTGACAGGCTCATGTAGACATGGAAATGATATGTTTGAGCCAGTATGGGACCGATAGTTAAGAAGCAGATGAATACTCCGTGCAATATGCAAAGCTGGGTGTTTTCTTTGGGTCTTTTCTAACATCGTTGCATCATGTAAACACACTCTCTATAATCTGCATTAAGGCACTGAGGGTACATTTACCAGCTCTTCAGGTTACTTCTGAGATATTATGATCTCTCTTCATGGCTGGTTTTTTTGGCTGGGGTCTGCTAAGATTTTGCCTTCTAGGGAGAAATCAAGCAAATTATGCCCAGAATGAAGTAGTACAATGTCTGCTTTCAGACATACCCAGACAAGAGCCCAGCTGGAACTCAGCTGGAATTTGGCTGAACCTGGAGACAGATTTTGTTTCTGTTCTTGCTTTTCTCCCTTCCATCTCCCGGCCTCCTCCAAATGCCATTAACAGACATTATTAACAGGCAGGAGCAGCCTTTCCCTGCATCGCTGCAGCTCCTCGCATCAGCTGTGTCAGTGCCGGTGGGCTGGAGGAGCACAGTTGCAGCAACTAGTAGCTCGTCTGGCTGCCCATCAGCTTTTCCTCCTATAAAAGAGAGGCTCATCACCCTGCTCAGGCTCCTGCCAGTCTGCAAACTGGGGCTGTTTTGGTTGCTCCCCTATCAGGTGATGGTGGGGATCCCACAGGCACTTGGCTGAAGAGCAGCTCGTTGCTGGAGACTCTGCTGATTAGAGACGCGGGCTGGGCTAGAGCAAAGGTAAATCTCCTTCAGTCTGTGGGTTAGGGGTTACATCAGAGCAGGAGAGCTTTGCTGCCGGTGGTCCTTGCTGCCTGGCGCAGAGGGAGTGCTCCAGCAGGCCAGGGTTGGGGAGCAATTATCTGGGTGATGGTAAATGCAGGGCTGCTGTGAGTGATGCTGCTTCCCAGCTCTCTCTGCAAACAAAAAGGGGGAATATCTGGTGCTGCCTGTGTGAGCTGGCAGGCTGCAACTGGCCTGATGTGCAGACAGGCAGCAGGAGAGGTTCCCACCCAGCGCTGCGCTCCTCAGGCTGTAGACCTTTAAGTGCAAATGATTGACTTTAAAGGCAGCGAGAGCACAGCATAAATGAAAGAGGAGAGGAAGAAGCAAGATTAAGGTCTGAGTGAAGGGGTCAGCCCTCTGAAGCCAGCTCTGGCATGGTTTAATGGTGCATTTTCATCCCTGTGCTCCTCTCTGCTGACCACTCCTTTTTACCCGCTACTGATTCCAGCACTGTGCTACTTAATGCTCTGTCTCACTGCGCATCACTCGCATAATGTAGGCAGGTGACTATTGCATTCTCAAAGGTAAGCTCACCTTGTTTATCTAATGAGAAAGGAGGTGAGCATTAAGGTCTCTCCGAAAGCATTTTTGGCCTGAAACAGAACCTTAACTTCTCTTAAAAGCAGATTGTTTTGGAAACAAAGGGCTGTTTTCCAATCCTTGACTTAGGTAAAACCAGGGAGTACTACGGTGTAACATACATGTCAAGCATGAAAGCTAAGTTTTGATTAGGCTTCCTAGCAGAAATCTCACTCCCAAAGGTCGTTTATTAAGCTATGATGGGGTGGAGTGATGCTCATTAACAGGAGATGTGCACATGGCCTGGTTGGTGTGAAATGGAAACAAACAAGAATCAATTAAAACAAGAGCCACAGAGAGGAGGTCAGGGTCGTTCCCCTGGGAATGAACTCCAGATCTCTGCCTCTCCGTGGTGTGAAGTGCTTCTGCTGCTGTTGGGCCCTCTGGATTGAATCACTCACAGTAGGCAAGCCCTGTTCCAAAAGCAGGAGTTGCTGTTTAATCCTGCAAGCAAAATACGACATTTTACAGGCTAGATATGTTTGCAGCCATTAGAAATGAGGGTGTTTATCCCCATGGGCTGTGTGACTCCTGGGCTGGGACCTTACACAAGAGCAGACACATCGCTCTGCTTGGTGCCACCCAGAGTCAAGCCCTGCTGCTGATGGACGGGTCCTGCCCTCGCGGGGGAGCGTGGTCGCCTCTCAGCTCCACGGAGCTTTTTGCAGCATCTGGGAGTGGTTTCCTAAAACCAAGCTGTGCTTTCTGCCTCTTGCTTTAGCCAGGGTGGCCTCTGCGCCGGGCACAAGCAGGCAGCTGGGGAGGAGGGGAGCGAGACGGCGTGGATGTGAGCACCCAGTTTGGAAGCGCAGAGCAGCCCCCATGCTCTTTGGCCGTGCGTTAGCCCAGAGGCACCTTCCCGAGGCCACGTGGACCAGGTTGCATGGAGGGGACCTCAGCTCTGACTGTGTTTATCGTGACCGACTCGTACTGGGACAGGCTCGCACCCAGAGCCCTGCGCAAATGGCAGCGTCTGTGCCCTGCTCAGCTCTCGGTGCAAACAGCCTTAATCCTGTCTAAGCCCCCCAACCCCCTTAAACCTCTGGGGATGCCCCAGGCATGTGGCAGAGCTGCCCCCCCCCCCCCCCCCCGCCCTCCGGGGTCGGCCACACCC